GAGTGATCAATAAACTTTAGGTTTATACCATGACGTGTGCAATTATCAATAAACTCCAAGTTTATTATGATATAGGTTTTTATATTAATAAACTTCTACTTTATTGTTGCATACTTTTATTTGTGTAGTACAAACTGGAGAATAAAGTGGGTAATTTTTCACATACATATTATCCCGCTACAAGTTGTAGTAATAGAATATATTAAATCTTTCCTTTATTTATAGTCTCAATATAACCAACCACTTTCGTGAATACTTTAGAAACTAAATAAGTTTCTTTGAGACTTACTACGACACAATACCTTATTGATAATCAATTTTATTTCTCCAAAATAGTATAATTGGCTATTCTAGAGCTCTCAATTAATTTTGTACTACCATATATTCATCAATATCCATATGGTGAATATCTCTCTCAAAGAGAAAGTTATACTATTATGGTCATGGTCAAAATTATATCCAAAATTTATTTCTTGCATCACTGTTGTCCTTTAATAATCACATTGCCAAAATATTTGGCGTACAATAGGTACGTGACCAGTGATCATTCATGTCATAATAATGACATTATTTTCTTATTTTCTCTCAAACCTCCTTCTAGAGGTGAGTGTAGTATATTCACTACCACTAGCACATTTTATTCTTTCAAGAATGAATATGTATTCATAAACACATGTTGTCACATTCACACCATGAACGGACCATAATTATCTATACGTGCTTTACAAAATCTCATGTTAAATCGATGACAGATATTACTTTCACAAAATGAAGGATTATTTTGAGAATCCTTGTTATTCTCATTACCATAATGATGCCGATTGTAATTTCATATATTTTCACGTCCACATCCATTGATACCTTCATGGTAATAATTTTATCTTCTTTCAGACTTGTTACTTATTGCTATCACATTCTCTTAAGGGAACGAGAATGAAGCGAATTCAATAGGATGAGTTTCGACTTCTTGTGCTCATAATCATACATGAATTTGATCATGGCAAGACATAGAATTTTTACCACTTCGGGTGGTTATAATTTCTTACAAACTCCAATAGAGTTATAATATTGTCTTTGCTTGTATTTAAAATTAAATTATAGAATGTCAAGAATTTAAAAGAGAAAAATAAGGTAAAATACTTATCTTAAATTCAGAATTTATTTCTAAAGGAATCATGGACAATTGACAATCATTATGCTCAATATTATGTACAAGTTGAGCACCATGTGCGTATCCCAAAGCCTTAATTTGTTGGAGTCTCGTGCTGATAACGTATTATAAAATAATAAAAGAAGAAGAAGAGTATTACGGAGAAAAGTAGAGAGAAAATTCTTATTCATTTGGGATCAATTACAATGGAATATAATACCTATATTTATAGAAAAAAATGACTTAGCCACCAAATAATAAACTCTAATATCTCTAAAATATAGACATTCTATTTATAACATAATTCCTTAAGTACGATGTCGATATTTTTATCGAGGAAAACACTCAAAAGATTTGGATGCTGAAATGTAAAAAAGAAAGCCTCAATTAAAATATAACAATTGTACTCCTATTGAAAGAAGAGAGGGGTTGAACATGTTATGTTTAAACTTTTGGGGAAAACTGAAATATAAAACAATATCCAAAACTTCACAGCGCTCTCTTAAAATTCAAATTAGGTCTGTGTTGGATACCAATCTTTGCTCTTAAAGTGAAGTTTCCGTTTCCAATCACTGGTACTTGTATCAATGTCAATTACTACTTCAATGCAGTACAATGACCTCTTCTCTTCTCTGGTCTCTGACATTAAATCCTACAATGGCAAAGACCCTCTTTGCCCTTGGCTCCGGTAAGCAACCCTTGAACAAAACTCATACATTTCTTTTGTATCCATTTCTCTGAGTTTTCAATAATTTACTCTTTTATTTTTTTGATTTGAAGAGGAATAAAGAAAATGAAAGAGTCATTACCTCCGCAGCTGCTTAAGGAGAAACTGCCACGTTTTCTTCAGAAATGTGCACAGACTTTTGAGACCGATCGCCGTTATGCTAATGATATGCGTTATCTTCGTGTCTGGTTACGACTGGTAACCTTTTTTTTTTTTTTTTTTTTGGTTTTAAAAGAATCTATTAAATCTGGGATTTACAAATGAAAAATTTATGTAGATGGAATATGTGGATGAGCCAAAAACGGTACTAAAAACCATGGAGTTGAATCGTATCGGGATGAAAAAATCTGCGTTTTACATAGCATATGCTCTTTATTATGAAAAGGTTAAAAAGTTTGAGGCGGCGGAGAAGATGTACCGTTTGGGCGTGCAGAAGTAAGTAACTAATAGCTAGTTCTGGTTTTAAATTTATTGAGTTATTATTACTTTTAAGAATACCTTAATTTAAATTACTTTTTGCGTCCAATGACATTTGCGAGATTATTAAGTTGTTTTTATTGGAATTCGGTGAAAGAACTGTTGAAAAATGCTGTTTATTGATCATTTTCACCATTCAGTTAAATCGACATTAGGTTGTTTAGCAATATATTTGCTGTTTCTAAATTGTTGTCAAATTTCAGTGAAAAGGATTCTTCATTGTTTTGCATTTGTTTAGGGTTATCTAAAGCCATATTACTCTAAAGGGAAATGTTAGCCCATTCAGAAAAGCTTTATTCGTTTTATCATACTTAGTGAAGGTCAATTATCCTTTCAAAGTGTATTGCATAATCTAATCCTAGGATGCACACCAAATGTAATCCTCAGCCAAACTGAGTATCCTACTTATACAAACTTTCTTCTTGAGCTATGAATATTTGATACTCTAGAAGGTCTGATAGCAGTTTTGTTTCCTATGGCCAATTTCGGGATGTGATCAAGCAGTACTAGTGTAGGTGTGTGTCTTTGCACCATTAGTTTTGCTAATTTAAGTTGATTTACTTTACTTGCTTCTTTCGAAATAATCTGAATTATCTTGTGCGTAATTGCTGCACTGTATACTTTGTTAGATGTATTTTTAAAATCAAAAGCAGCATTGCTCTATAGATCCTTTTAGAAGCGAAGTGGCCTAATGTTTTTTCTCACTCTTTTTCCTTCATGACTTAGGGATGTATGAGTTTCCTTTCTATCAATCCTTTTTTAATTTCAGGGCCCTGTTATCAGATACCTAACAATTTATCTATCCTGTTAAATAATGGAATCTTTTTTCTATCGTTATCTGATTGCAACAGCTTAACTAGGTGATAGCCCCTTTCCCTTCGCTCAATTATTTAAACAGTCTGACCTCGTTTATGTTGGTGATGTCTTTTTCCACTAAACAGATGAAGAACAATTCTGGAAACAAGTAGTTTCACATGTTGCTTAACTGATTTCTGTCTCATTCTTCACTGAACAGCCTTGCAGAGCCACTTGATGAGTTACATAAATCATATGAGGAGTTTCTTCATCGCATGGAACATCGTAAGAATAAGAGGATACAGGTTGGTTACATTGGTCATATTTGTCAATCAAACCTCTTCTTTTTGTTAATAGGAGCCATTAACTGACAATGGAAAGATATTCTGCAGCGCCAAGAAGGAAAAAATAAAATATGTCCTCTTGGTGCTAAAAACATCACTTCGAAGAACAATGAGATTGAGGAAAATGATGAGAATTTAAGTGGAACAGAAAACAATCCTATCAGCATCAGGGATCAGTTACCCACCACACGATCCAAGCATTTAAATATGAAAAACAAGGTTGCCATTTCACAGGGCTCCAGGAGAGAGTTTACCAGTGAAGATACAGTAGTTGTTAAATTTGTTGGTAATGCCATTGTTGGGAAGTCTGCTGTGGAAGATGCACGACATCATGGTCTGGTGGAACCTACCATTAATACGAAGGAGGCCATATATGCAATTAATAACATGTTTCGAGGGCCATTAGAGCCTTCTCTGGCTGGCAAACATTCACGTCGAAACCAGCCAAAAGTTGATCAGAGATTAAACAATGGTTTTGAAGTATTTATTGATGAAAACACAGATGGTGTTGTTGGATCATCTCACCAAACCTTGGCAAATGGTTCATCGGTGCCACAAGCCACTACAGTTAAAAATCAAAAGCCCATGCAGGAGCCATTTCAGATATTCATTGATGATGACAACACCGTTGATGTGATTGAGGGAATTCATGAGAAGGATAAGTCAGATATGGATAACTCTGACAATTTGACTGGATGTACTATTGAAGAGAGGATTGAGAACGGTTTTGTGTTTCCGCGTCCTTCTGATGTTACTTCAGAATGTTCTGGAGATCCAAATTTTGAAAGGCCACCTCAAACAAGACTCCGTAGGGAGGACACAGTTGTATACAAATTTGTAGGTTCCACCATTTCAGAAGAATCACAGGTCGAAAATGTTTGCCATCATGGCCTCGTAGAACCAACAATTAACTTGAAGGAGGCTATGGATGATATTAATAGCATGTTCGGAAAGCCAATCGAGTTTACAAGGAAAAGCAGGCCAAAGAAACGGGAACAAGCACCTAAGATGGAGAGAGATGACAGTGGGTTCATGATACTTCCAGATGATGAGATACACCATCAACCAAAGAGTTCCCTGCCAACTTCCACGGCAGAAAGGGGAAGTGACTTGTTCGAGCAAACTGTGTGCACAAAGGAGGCAATGGATGACATAAATAAAATGTTTGCAATGCCATTGGATTTCTAAGATGCTGGTAAAGTCTTCTATTTTTTATTTTTTTTAAAACTGGTAATGTTTTCTTTATTTTCTTTTAAATATCCATGAGTTTTGAGTTTATTGACTGGTTTTGTTCTCTATTCTATCCTGCCTAAATTTTGTGATGTGTCAGATGGATCTTGTCACCCCTTGAAAAAAAGAGATGGATCTGACATCTTATTTGGTCAGACAAAAGCCATTGATCTTAGTCGAAAGTTGAGATTCCACAGCACACACCTATAGATAGATAGATAGATAGATAGATAGATAGATAGATAGATAGATAGATAGAGAGAGGGAGAGAGAGAGAGATTGTAACTGGAATAATCAATTATGAAATGCAACGGGAACAAAAAGTTGCTGCGATGTGAAGAATGTTGCACTCAAGACTCTATTTCTAGAAAATAGAAATAAATTGTACTCAAGACTCTTGTGAAAACATAGAACCAGGAAAAAATCAAAATAATACATGGTGAAAATCAATTAATACTCTGGTTTAGGAGGGCAGTAAGCTGGTCGGAAAGCAAAGGGGCCTGCAGCATAAATCACAGCCTCATAATTACTCCGCCTCAATGTTTTGTCTAAAAATCGGAGTGGAGCGCCGGTGAGTCCATAGTTGACATTAGTGAAGACATTGCAGTTTTCAAGAGGAGAGGAGACAAGTTTCACGCGGCATGAATGGAGAGGATGGTCAAGATAAGAATGCCCCATTTTGAAGCCATCCAGCTCTGCAAATAAGTAGCCATTTTTATCCGTTTGAAATGCCTTATAGTAGCTTACTCTTTTCATGTAATTTTTGCAGATAACACTAACTTTAGCTGCTGCGATGGGCTTAGCACCTGAGAGAGACCATGATCCATAGTTATCACAGCTCTGGCAGTAAACCATGCCTTCAACCACCACTTGCGCAGTCTTCTCTACAGGCTTAGCTGGGGCTTTTTTATAAGCGGTTGTCAGTGGAATGGCTAATGCAAAGAGCAAAGAGACGATCAGGATAAGTTGGCTGCTTGCCATCTTCTTGAAATGACGTCGTGTAGCGCTTATGTCAGTTTTGGAATGTAATTCTTGCTTGATGTTAAAGTACATTTGAGTTGATTCCTATATATAGTTTTAGGCATGGCTTTGTCTGTATGCTCTGAATGTTGTTAAGGACGTGAATGCTACTATATCACATTTGTTTAAGTTCAATGTTCATCCTCAATATTTTCCAGACGTGATGACCATGTTCAGAAGTTTATAGTTTGTATAATATTCTATGAGCTTCAATATGTTCATCCCCACGTAGAGTCATCTACGTGCAAACCACTTACCCCTTCTATAATAATATGGTAGCGTTAGGTGAGCCAACCTACTTGAAAATTTAATGACAAGTCTACGAGATATGGTTATCTCATAGTAAAAGGTAATAATGCTATATTCGTATTCCATAAAGATAATCATTTTAATGTACTCTGACTATCCCAAATTGAATATTAATCTCAAAATACATGATTAGTATTAGAAAAGTTAAATAATAACAATGCTAAATATTCAATTGGTCAACATGTGGATACTTATGTTGACCTTTGCTCTTTCGAAAAATAAATAGACTAGAGTTTGTGTTGAAAAGTAAAGTTAAATATGGTGACATGTTATTTTTGCTCTTGGTCCTTAATTCCAAAAATAATTGTCACCTTTTGCTTTTGTTAAAGTAGAATGTACTAATTTTGACAAAAACTCTTCAAAAGGTAAGGGTAGAACTCACCCTTGAAACCGAAAATTCTTTATAATTTTGGAACAAAACGAGTATATAGAACTACTTGCGTCCTAAACAAAATCTTTTCTTTTTCTTTATCCTAAAACGGGTACGTTTTTTAACAGGACATTTTGAACATAAGAAGAAAGTCGTGGAACTGAAATTTTATTTTCTTGAGATAACTTTTCTTCATCTTATTTTTCAAACACAGGATTGGTGAAATAGTCTTGTAACATGGGCATCCAATTCAATTGTNTATATAACGGTAGTATCCAGGCTAGCTTGCACGTACCTCCACTTACTGTATTATCATGATTCATGACAAGTTACCAATTTGTTAAGTAATCTTCTCTAGGGGTGGGCGTTCGGGCAGTTCGGATTGAATATGAAATTGCGGTTTGGATTTTTGGTTTTCAGATTGAAGAAATTATAATCCAAATCCAATACAAATAATTTCGGATTGGATCAGATTATTTAAGTTCTGTTTCGGATTAATCAGATTGGATTTTTCGGATTTTCGGTTCTGACTTTTAAGCCTATATGTTGAGCTTATAGAAAACACTCAGACATAAAAATAATCATTTAAATGAAGTAGAAAGATGGTAATCAAAAGATGCTTTAGTTTTTGATATCTTCTCGACTCTCTATAATGCCTCTTCAAGAAAAAAGGTCTCGAATATGCAATAGATCACACTGATTCAAATTATACTATTATAAATTAAAAGATTAACTAGAAAAGGTGACCTCAAAATTCAATCTTTAGTCAACTTCGGCCTTGACTCTTCAGTGTTTACAAACACACGTATGGTTTGGCTGCGTAAATGAGATATATGAGAAAAGAAAACCCTATATTATATTTGATTTAGTAGAGAATCCCATATTGGATTTAGTAATTTGTATTGAATATACATGCTAATGTTTAATGGGCATGACACTATTGGAGATTTGAACTTATTAGTATTAGGTATGTATATGGGTAATGCCGTAATGAGCTAATGTCTCACTGGTAAGGCTAAATATAAGGTACAAATATTTTGGATATTCGGATATTCGGAATTTCGAAGTCCCAAATCCAAAATTCAAAAATTTTAAAAATAAAATCCGAACTCCAATCCATAATCCAAAAAGTTCGGATTTCAGGTTTGCCCAAACTATGCTCACCCCTAATCTTCTCCCGTGCCAATTCTTTCTCTTTTTCAAGGACAAGTTCAATTGGTTTAACATCTTGGTGCCTGCATAATTGACTCGAGGTGATTTTGTTACCGTAACTATTCGAAATTGACTGTTGTTTCAATGGCATAAAGTTGGATATGGATTTCTGTTTACTAGAACTAAAAAGCTTCCAAGTGATTCTACTATTCATTTATATGTGTGTTGTTTTTCTCATTTTGTTGTTTAAAAAATATACAAAATAAGACTTGAAAAAGAATTGAGAAAACAAAGAAGTGAAACATACATCATTTAGTTCAAATTGGCTAGCGTGATGCCCTTATTATTGTGAGGGATTTCATATAGGTTCTTCTGTTTGTTCATTTCGTCAAAGCTGCTATTTGGTCTGTTGATAAGAAATAGAATTGCTCCCAAGCCTTCAAGAAAGCAAATCTTGACGCGTAAAAATTAATTTTCCTTTTTGTACACAAACAAACACTTCTCCATCTGCTTTTCTGATCCACCCAAAAGAAGAAGAAAAAGAAAAAGAATGGAAAAAGGTTTTCCAACTTTGTATTTACAGCTTCTATATTGATTAACCATCTAAAGGCAATTTTATGGTGGCTATGCATATTAACAAGCCTCTGTTGATATAATCTCAAGCTCAGCCCACCATAGAGGAGAGAGTCTTGGGATTGCCCCATCTGGTCCTATACCTGTTATCTCTCTCAATCTGCCCGAAACCTCTCTCATCGTCGGTCGTTGTCTTGGCTCAGGATGTACACACATTTTAATCACATCAGCTATCCTCTCTAGCTGTTCCTCTTGGAAAGAATTTAAAGTTGGATCCACCATTTCCCTCAGGGTTTGTCCTTCTCTTAGATAGTCTGCTGCCCAGTCGTCAAGAGAGCCGCTGTTTGCCGAGTAAGGCAGCCTACCGGTCATCATCTCAAATAAAATGACACCAAAGCTGTAAACATTACTTTCTGGACTCAACCCCGTTTCAGCTGCAGCTGTCTCGTTCCAGAATCCAAAATCCGATATTTTGGCTGCATAGTCCTCTGTGAGGTACACCGCGGAGGAGGTCAAGTTTTTATGGGGTAACGATGGCGATAAATTGTGCATGTGCTCAAGGCAGTATGTCATGCCCATTGCTATCCTCATTCGCATTCCCCAGTCCAAGTGTTCAGCTTCCCTTACTGCAAAAAAACTCCAGAATTAGAAATCTTGTTGATAGTAATGGCGTACATAAGACAGGGAAAACCAGTTTAAATGAAGTAGTCATTGTAGAGGCAGAAAAATATTCACAAATACGTTCAAGAGCGTAGGAGCTGTAATTACACAGAAACCAAATAAATTAATGTTTTTTCATGCTAATTCACCAAAGACTTTGATCAGTTCTTTCCTTTCACTCCACACTCCCGTTTTAATTGTCAGTCTGTCGCAATTGTTAAAAAAAGGTATAAGCAGTAGATATTTCAGTTACATCTAAGAGTGGATATTCGTCACATTGGCACAAGAAACATCTAGCGCAAACATGAGATATTTCAATCACATCAAACGATTGCTGTTTATCATATGGAAAGCTAGACTTGCATTGTAAAGAGAGTAGATAAAGTGAATACCAAAGATGACTTGTACATGTGTGAACATTCTGCTAGGAATCAATGATTTTTCGAGTTAATAAGCAAGAGCATTTGAAGTACAATAGTCGAACATCTTATGAGGCTAATGCGAAAATGGTTTCTTCTCCAATTACAGATAAGAATTCTCGACATGAGACCAAAGACATCCACAGACACAATATGCTAGGTGTGAAAAGAAAATTTACCCACCCGGTATTTACACCACCCCAATGAATACATAAGTGTGTTTTCACATACACTGTTATCACTTAAGCAAAGTTTTTTACTCCGTAACACACATTGTAACATCAATTTATAACTTAGCAATGGTAAATTAAATGGTTTGTGTAAACACCGGGTGCGAGTAAGTTTTTATCCACTATATAAATGTATTGCCTAAACATTTCAATCAAGAGATGAGAAGAGTTGGGTAACAGTATTGAGTAGATCACAAAAGCTACACCATGAGAATAAGAAACTTACTATGTAGATATTCAAAGAGTGTCCCATTAGGAGCATACTCAAAAACCATCATTCTGGTAAATGGCTCCTCTTCTTCACAATAACCGAGAAGGCTGACAAAGTTCTTGTGATTGACTTTGGACATTGTATCAATCTGGTAAAAGCAGGGAGAAAAACATTTAGAAACTCAATAAATTGAAAGAAATGAGATGTAAAAATCCAACTGGAAGACCTAAAACACCTTTTTCCTGAATTGGGCTTCCATATCTTTTGACCAATCCTTAGCAGATTCCACTGTACGAGAGATCACAGCTATCTCAACTCCACTAGATAATGTGCCTTTATATAGTGTGCAAACAGATGAGGAACCGATTACGTTGCTGAAATCTTCACAGGCTGCTTCAAGCTCTAATCTCTTCAGCTTTGGCACACCTGTTTACATAATAAGAATGATAAAACTCAGCTGTCTATCTTTAGAGTATTTTCTCATATTGATGAACAAAAGTTTTGAGATATCAAAGAGAAAAAAAGGGAAAAGGTCAAAGATTATTATCAATTAAAAAAGAATCTTATAGCAAGTTCATATGTCCATATAGATATGGATCTGATTCTTACGAGAACCATTTTGGTTCTACAATAGATATACTATTCATTGATGGATAGATAGAAAATTACCAGTAACAAATGCTCTCTGTAACTGACCACTCAAACCAGTGGCCCAAGGTTTTACAACAGCTATTTTGTTGCTTCGAAAGAAGATTGCGCCAGTTATCAATACGAACAGTAGAATGGGACCTCCTATAGCTGCAGACAATATTAAAACTCGATGATGACTTCGTCTGGAATTTTCACGTCCACTTGGGTTCTTTGCAGGACTGGGGAGTGAAGATGGAGAAGAAGAAGAAGAGGATGTTGGTGAAGGAGCCAGGTGAGGTTTTGCAGTAATTGACGGTGTAGGAGATGGGGAAAGAGAAGGACTCGGAGCTGGAGATGGGGAGGATGAAGGCGCATTGTTCTTAACCCCAACTTTAGGAGGAGCTGGCTGAAATTGCTTCCGGAAGTTATTCAGGAGAGAAAAAGACGACACTTGTTGTAATTTTCTTCCAGCTACATCTCCAAATGCTGTTGTACTCCTGCACATAATTTAAATTTCATTATAACTACATATGTTGCTACCAAAGAAGTATATACCTATAAAGAAGTTAGAGCAAGGCCCGATTGA